GGTTCACCAAAACTGAGCTGGGAGTTGAGACACACTCAGTCAAGAAGTCCAGCAGCACCAACCTCTGAGTAGAATAGCCTGGCTTTGATGAGGACTAGATGACTTAAAGGACAATGTAAGGGGAAGACGAAATCAGTACTGATGTGCAGATCTTGAACCTGACTGACGAAGGACAACAGAGGTCATGTGAATTGTGATAAAGACAGGGAGGATCTGGCAGAGAGAAAAAACACCTTCCATTTTCTTGATATCTTGGCTGGTGGTTTGCTCCTATTTCCTTTCCTATTGGAAGCAAATTTGCTTTTCTTTTTCTATGGGTTGACTTTTTTTCCTGTTTTGAGTGGAGGTAACCTTTGCTGGTTGACTGGTTCTGCAATATTTGGAATAGGAAAGTTTTCACTGCTGGTGTTACAAGATATGTGGAATCTAATGTAAGAAATAAATTGGGTTATCTTGCAAACTGGCACGGGTTAAACTGTTTAATTCTTGCACTATCCTTATGAGGGCTGTTTTTGGATTCAGTAATATCAATTTAGTGTCCATTTTCCTTTATTTGTCCTTCCCTCCAAACCCCACAATAAGGATATATGATTTTATGAAGAGCTTTCTCTTTGCTAGTGTTGTCCAGGAAACCGTTTCCCAGGCATCTTTGTGTTCAGACCTGATGTATGTCATTCTGACACAGTTAATTTTGGGTTAAATTTGTAATCTACTAATCAACCCTATTTTTTGCAAAGCATGGAAGAAATTAATCTTAAATCACAAGAGTCTCCTCACAGGTTGAATAAAATCCTCCATGTTGATATCAATCTTTTTTTCTCTTTCCAAAAAATTAACAAAGAATTCTCACCCTCATGTGGGCAGATAGTAATATCATTCCCATTTATGAAGGATAGAGAAGCTCATATACAGAAAGGTCAGCAACTTATTCTTAAAGCACTGAATTCATAATAATAAAAGAGTCCATTAATTCAAATTAGCTTCTACCATCAAGACTCTAAGAGTCAACGAACATGGCAGTCACAGAGTTTGTGATAAGAACAACTCATGTTGCAGGGGACAGGTATAAAATCTGTGGACAGGGCTTTGGATGCCAGCTCCCAATTCATGCTAAATGTGTTACTGGAAATGTGTCAGGAAAGCATTTTCATGTTATCTGTGACAACTGTAGATAAGCAGCCTGTCTATAGCTATAAAACCTAGAGGATGACCCACACATCTTACTTGTAGCAACCAGAAAGAGCCTTTACCTCCGGGGCAATGAAAAGATGACCTCAGTAACTAATGAGAGAAGGCAAAAAAGACATCAACTCAGCACAGACCACAAAAGTGTCTGAATTTCATAAACAGGAAATCTTTAAATGATACATTTCTTTCCTTTTGTACTTCACAGAAGAGTAAGGTAGGACAAAAAGAGGGTTTGATGGAGACTGAAAGCACTGAAATGGTCTTAGCAGCTGTGAAAAAGCTCAGTTAGTACCAGACACCTAGAGGGGCAGGTAACCATCAGCTTCTCCTTCAAAACTGGCTGTAACCTTTCACATACAACACCTTCAAAATATGTTGAAAATGTTTTTCGAAATTCTTTTATTTCTGAGAACATATTGTCTGTAGAGACACAATATACAATATATGTAAATCAGCAAACTGGCAAGTGAGAGGGATTTGTCTGGTTCATTCTGTACTAAGCGATACCTGAAACACCACACAATTTCTATTTGCTTATGGTTGTTCTATCTGAGGAAATGAAGATGGAAATGTCTCTCTAACAAACAGTTGCTGCCATTCAGATAGGTAGCGCTAATCATCTACTTGCAGAGGCAGTGGGAACAGTCAATGCAGAAAGATACAGGGTATCTGCATTTAAAATAATCTCACCACAACCTCCCTGCTATTTTGCTCAGAAAAATCATTATAGAAAAAGCAACAAAAGCCTCTAGTCCACATGCAAAAAAAATCCAATCCCTTTTTAAAGAGCTGGTAGTAGCAGATTAGCAATTTCAGTATTCCCAGGCAACAGAGACTCACAGTCAGAGTTAAGGTGGTACGGCCCTCACAAAAGGCTGGTAGAGTAACAGAAGGTCATGGATGCAACAGCTTTCATTTCAAATCTGTTTTTTTTCTGAAGCAGCACCAGCGGGTGGCATCATCATTTAGTCCTATAATACATTATTAGCATATGGGAATGATTTCTATGGTTGTAATATCTCGAGTATGCTGTGGTACATCATTCTGTGTTCTCTCTTCTTCCTTTCAGTGCTGGCTCCCATCAGTGCACTGTGAAGCTGCATGGAGGAACAAGTTGCTTTTTTGGCACTATGTGCAGTATCAACACCTGCTATCCCTACTGTGTCCAGCATCGATCTGAAGAAACAAGAGAGTATGCAACACTAATGTCACAGAACAGAAAAGGTAACAACTGTTCCTACATGGATCTTGAGAAAGCTAATGTGTGCAAGGGATAGAATTATTTTGGAGTCCTTACAGCACAAGTCAAAAAGAAATATCCCTAAAATAAGTGGGAAACAAGCTGCTACAGTGTGATAAAACTTCAATGATATTGAAATCCAGTGCCTTAAAACCCATAGCGAATTTGGCCCTGTATGTCGATGCAGAAATTGAAAAAGGCAATTAATTCTCCACATGAGGGAGAAGTGAGAAGATGCTTACTGAGATGTTAAACCTGAAACAAAGGAATTCCTCTGTAAGTTTATGATTTGGAAGGTATTGTTCCCCTTACACTCCAACACCCCGAGGCCTACGGACTGAAAGGATGACCTCCAGGCAGACTCTCACTGGAACACTTTGATCAACTTTTACCAAATTAGAACAGAGAGGAAAAGCAAAACTGGTCAGGACTAAGGAATGGCAATCCTCCTGTTTCGCCACAGAGTGTCGTCCTTGCTCTATGCTTTCGACTCAGATGACCAGCCTCTGCAGGGGAAAAAGGTCTTTATTAAAGGAGACTCAGTTAATGGATCAGAGGTCTGTATACAGTTTCCTCAGCCCAACCCGCTCACATTCACGATGTACAATACACACTGAGGTTACTCTTCCCACTTTCCTTATGCTAATTATTTTGCTTTGACAGGTGCTGACACTGCAGTCATATTTTTGAGCCGGTTAGACTATCACCCTCTTTTCAAGATACAGGACTGGATTAAGAGTGTGTCACAGGGATGACCAGTTCAGTAATGCTTTACATGTTTTTTCTGTCACTGACATTAAGAACCACGGATGTTGAGGGAAATTGCCTGGTTCACATCTCTGCTAATACAGGACGCTCTTGCACATTTGATAATACTTAGTCCAGTTCAATTTTCAAATTGATTCTTGCACTGAGGGAATTATTCTGATGGCTAACAGGGCTTATATTTAGACATGAGTTTTTTTCTTTCATAACCATATTGCTTTATTTCCAGTTACAGCCCCCTCCTCTAGCATAAAAATTCTTGTGCCTTGCTGGGCATTGTCACACCTTAAACACCTGTAAGCTGCCTCTTTCAGATCTGCTCAAACTGCATTATTTTGGGAATATGTGAGAAGGGTGGGGTGTGGAGGGGCTGAAAATGCAGGTGGCAGTCAGAATTTCTCCACTGTCCATTTACCTGAGGTACTCGTAGAGTCCATACATGGGCAAGAAGTCAATGTCGGACAGAAACATGTATGGTGTGCTGATATGCTTCATGGCCACGTTCCTTAGCAGATTCACAGGATAGAACTGGCCCTCCTTGTACACGATATGGTAGCCGACATTGTGGCGGCTCATAAGTACTTCTGAGCCCTGGGCGTAGCGCAGAAATTGCTGGGCTTCCGCATCAGAGAGATAGAGTGCCAGGCTGATTGGACCTTCCCAGTGTTTGCAGATGGCTTCAAGCATCTGGAGCCTGAAAGAGGAAGGGTGAGAATAAGAAAAGGCTCTATCCCTGCCTGGGACTATTTGCCTGGGTTCATCTGATCACATGCAGATATCTATCTCTAAGTGAGACAGATTAGGGTCACTTAATATGCTGTGGAAAGAAATAAATACAGCATAATTAATCTCATCTAAGTTGATGGCTTCTTTGGGACAGATGGACTGCACCCTAGATATGCCTACTCCTCTCCGCTGAACATAGTGGAGCCTAACACAGCCCCAGCTCAGATGATACAGACATCACAACTCAGATAAATAAAACTAGGTGAAATTGACACCATCCTTTCTGTCTAAAGCATTGATGCTGCAGGAAAACACACATGGATGATGGGACTTAACCTGATGAGAGCTTTGAGCAGTTGCAGGGATGTGTCCGTGTGGATCTACTTACAGGACAGGGGTCTTGTAATCTTAAACAATGTCTAGTGCTCAGTTCACACTTCGGGTCAAGCTGTTCTCATGCACTTACATACTGTGCTCTTCAACAAGCTTGTGGAGGAGAGAGGTGTACAGACCCACCGATCATTTCACCTCCTGTTTAGGAAAACCTTCCCCAAATTTTTGTAAGGCAGTTAGTCAGATCTTAAAAGCTGCTAAAAGTGATAGGTCAAGGTATTACTGACTTATACGAATACTTGCACTGACTAGAAGAAAACTCATTGTCAGGGAAAGGGCAAAAGGACAACACTGATAGAAATGGGATTTACTATGTGAAAGGAGTAAGGAGAGGAGTGAGAGACATGGCATTGCTGTGGAATATCAAAAGAGCATTTCAGACAAAACCATCATTTAAAGTACTAATTTGTATATGCTTTAGCAGTATCTGAAATTTCATTAAATAATTTTTAAAACAGGTTATATTGGTGTATATGTTTTAAAACTTCCAGCAATTACAATACTATTGATGAAAATGACAACAAAAGATCTCATACAGAAATGTAAATCAAACCCAGCCTGGTCAAAATTGTTTAAGCACTTTGGGTAATTTATAGGGAATTGTCTAGAGATTAAGATATGCCACGCAAAAATACAGAAAGGACTGATTACAAAGTCTCTTGAGCAGGGGGATTGGACTAGATGATCTTTCGAGGTCCCTTCCAATCTCTAACATTCTGTGATTCTGTGATTCTGTGAAATGAACCTATGCAGCCTAGCCAGATATTCCATTAAAATTTACGAAGAGTAGACTATGCAACATGATTATCTTCTCTCCCTTCCAAATCCACATTACTAGATTTTTCCTATTAATATTTATACAGAACACAAGAAAAGTATTCTGCATCATCGTAATCAGAGAAAATAATTTTCTCCTCCCACTATCTCCCTAAGCTTTGCAGCAGAAAGGAATGATATACTCATACCAGCAAACACATATTCTGATTTAACATTAATTGCTTTTTCCTGCATTTCTGAATGATCATGATGACATCCAAGATGGTATGATCATTTTTTCTTAGATATGAGATATTACCTTTACTAGTCTACATCTGGTACATTATTTTCTTTTTATCTATTACTGAAACAAAGGTTATTATCAGCCTGAAACACAAATCGATAAAAAAGATCTAAAAAGTATGTGAAGGCTTTACGCTTTTGATTGTACAAATAATAAATAGAGAAAAAGGCT